ATAACAAACACACAGCCAGAAAAGTAGTAAACACGTTAGTGGATTTACTCACATGAATTATTTAACTGTTTTATGATATAGGCTAGCTTACATTAAACAACAAAAAAACTTCCTGCAACATTTTAAACATCTTAGAATTGCCAACAGGGTCCGCATCATGGGCTTTATTAAACGCGTTTTTTTTTTTAATGATTATTTGTGGGTGTTGGTTATAAGATCCCTAATAACCTACGAGACATATATAGGAGAAAAGACCTAAACAGACCCAACATCAATACTGCTAGGATTTCATATGTATTTTACATATAAAATGTATGTTTTCACCGACTTAATTTGATCATTTCTTAACAGAGGTACCCGTTCATCTCTTCTGATTCGAAGCGTTCGTTTACAGTACTTTCACGTTAGTCAAAATGATACTTATGTAACGGAAGAGATATAACGTTGATGCAACTTCAAAACCTGAAAAACGACAATCACGTATACTCTTCAAACTCAAGTGGCTGAAATGATACTATTGCATGAAAAGAAGTTTTCAGAGTCCTTGTTTCTCTATCTGCTTCTGTGACCATTCCTAAATCAAGTAGTATTTAAGAGATTTTCGTAAAAAAATTTACAATAATTTTTTTGTTTGAAGTTAAGCACAAAGCTACACAATGGGCTATCTGAGCTCTGCCCACCAGGGGTATCGAAACCCGGTTTCTAGCGTTGTAAGTCCGCAGACATAGTAAGAAGAAATCGTTCACATTTTATTAGCCTATATACATGAAAAATCGATGACCACCGTGAAGGTCACTACGGCTGGTCATGGTAGATACATATACAGAGTCCATACTGTCCAAAGCCATGCACTGCTTCTTATACATAATGAAATTTGTTTACTTTTATTCTTAAAATGAATACTTCGAAAGTTACATTAATGATCTGTAACTGCAGATGGCGCTAAAGGCACAATACTTTAATAACCGTTCTGGTTAATGAATAAACTGCTGATATTGGTTAGGAAGTATGTAGATGGCGTTACCGGCACAATACCTTAATAACCGTTCTGGTTAATGAATAAACTGCTGATATTGGTTAGGAAGTATGTAGATGGCGTTACCGGCACAATACTTTAATAACCGTTCTGGTTAATGAATAAACTGCTGATATTGGTTAGGAAGTATGTAGATGGCGTTACCGGCACAATACCTTAATAACCGTTCTGGTTAATGAATAAACTGCTGATATTGGTTAGGAAGTATGTAGATGGCGTTACCGGCACAATACCTTAATAACCGTTCTGGTTAATGAATAAACTGCTGATATTGGTTAGGAAATACAGTTACAATATCCATTCATCAACGTACCTTTGGAATATCAAAACAAGGTTATTTTCAAAATATTTATTGTTTAAGTAGAAAAAAAAAATTTTATAGAAAAGCTTTTTCTTAAAGAAAACTTAATAAAACGTGTCCAAAGACAGATTTAGGAATGTTGCTCTGTTTGCTTCATATAAATAAATGCCTTTAATGGTTATTGTCGAAAAACAAGATAAAAAAAAAGAAGCTGTGGGCTGTAATATTGAAGAGATAGAGTTCAAGTAATAAATTTACAAGAATGAGATCGTTTTTTGCACACCTACATTTCCACCAAAAATAAACAAAGTTCAAAGATTTGTCTTTATCAAGATAGGTAATCAGCAGACTTGAGATACTTTTTAACTTGTTGTTCTCGATATATATTTTCTAATATTTAGTGTAGAAGATATATATAGTTTTGGAATCTTGTGAGCAGGACTGTCGCTGTAAAATTCTGGGTCCCCGGCAAGGTATCTAATTGTACGTTCCGCTCAATACATAAATGTGACGCGAAAGTGGGAAATTTGTCTTACCTATTTAGAGATATAAATTACCTTCTTTTAAATATGACAATTTAATTTTTAACTGTTCTTATTACAAATTATTCGTACAGCTTTCTGGAAATTCCACCTTCTTGCAACGACCCTTTCGATGGGGAGCATAGCTAACCCTATGAAACACTCTTCTCTGTAGATTCCTCCCTCTTGTAACATCCCTTCCAATGGGGATTGTGGCCAACTCTGTGAAACACTCCTGAGACACGGTCAATCTCAGGTAAATTTTAGTCCATCTTAGTTTTGAAAAACTCGTTT